TGGTACCCCAAGCGAAGATGTTAACAAAAAAATAAATCCTAGAGCTGTCAGACTAAATTCACTAGAAATTCTGGCCAAGCAAACGTAAAACCATTCTTCAGGGGTATTCCAATTATCCAGACAAGATTCCCATAGAACTACCCCCCAATAACAAACAAACAAACAAACAAAAAAAACCCAAACCAAAAAACTTTCACCAAAGATAAGCTTATGCAAGCAAATCACCAACCAAGGAAATAACTGTATAAATAAAGCAAAACTTGGTTAAAAATAGAAATAGAAATTGGCAGATGTACAACTGTAGTGGAAGATTTCCACTGCCATGTTAATTTTGGAAAATTAATTAGGTAAATATTTATACAAACATTCCCTAGATCACAGTCTAGCTGCCCATTTCCCTTTCAAAAATAACTAAAAGGCTACACTTCATAAGATTATTGAAAAATGACTTCTATATACATATATGGTAATATTGCATTGTCATTAGTATCATAGTTTTAAAGAATTTAGATCAATGTTAAATAAAAAGAGCAGAGTAGCATGGATAGGAAAATACTAATTTCTTTTTATTCTCTAAAAGAAAATATATTAAAATATTTCTAGCATTAGAATGGTGGGTGACTTCATTGACACCTTTATGCATCTTCTGTATTTCCCAAAGTGTCTATAAACAAAGAAAGAGATTAGAATCATAGAACAGCATGGGAAAGCCTGAACCTCGGGGAATTACACATAATTTGATATTTCTGGAGTGAAGAATGTGTTTAGAAAATGAGCAGGAGGTGAGGTTGGAAAGGTAACTAAGAGTCTCACCAAGAAAAAAAGCTAAGTATCATTTCAGGAAACAACTTGTCTGCAAAAGTTGTGGGAAATCTCTAAGAATGTTAAGCTTAGAAGTATTGACCAGATATGTATTTTCAAAAATTTCTCAGGCAGTATAGTGTAGATTTGTGAATGCGAAATAAAACCAAAAACCAGGCTACAGTAGAAACAATAGCATTAACTGGGTGTCTAATATGTGTCAGGGACTATGTGTTGAGTACTTTATTCTGGCTCGTTTAATCTTTGCAGCAGCTTTGGCAGGTAGGAACTTTTTATCATTGCCCCCTTATGGAAAAGAAACGCAGGCTAACGAACTTGCTGAAGGTCACTTGGTTGGTAACTGGTGGAACCAGGCTCCTCCCATCCCGGATAGTTAACCAGCACTTAGATTTTCCCCACTGCACTGGGGTGGTGCCTTTCCAAGAGGAGGAGAGCAGAAAGAGGTCCCTAGAAGAGAGAGCGACGATGGGTGGTTCCTGGATGGTAACTAACATCTCTGGTTGACAGATCAGATTTGGGATAAGAGGCTAAGGAGGAGAAGGGAGTCCAGGATAATTAAGGAGAGGCAAGTAAACTTGAACGTTCTGGCATGAAACATAAAAATGACTTAAATTCACCAGCGAAAACAGGCAATGCAGTTCCTTTGAGTGTGCAATGAATTTTGGTATCTTCTTTTATTTGAATGATTGAGATGCAGTGACATAGAAACAGCTGAGTCCAAGGATGCCCTGGAAGTGATACTGGGTGCACATCAGGATATGCCGCAAGCTTTTTGATTTCTAACAAGCGATCCCTTGGCTGTTCTGACGGAGCCCGGATTTCCTTGGTGGCGCGTGGGGACAGAGAGCTGATGGCTGGCGCAGGGGCGTGCTGCATCAGTTCTCGCTTCACCTAGAGCCTCTTAGATTTGCACCAAGAGGGGTATGCATTGAGAATTTTCATCTTTATCATTAAAACAGGAAATATGTACACAAGTACTAATGGTTCACACTTCTAATTTGAAGCTTTTTTGGATTTATACATCTTAAGTATCCATAATTAGCTTTAACATCAAACTACCGTCCAGCGAAAAGCACACCTATTTTCATTCTTTTTTATTTAGGAGATGAAACGTTCTTAAGACGGTCCTTTTATGGGCACTATTGCTAATGGTTTTGGTATTTATAGGAATCATAGTTTAACTTTTTGAGATTATAGAACTTTCTATATGAAATGCATTAAAATAAAACTGTACTAATTATTTTCATGTTAATAAGGTTTCTCTGTTAAAAGACTATATTACCATGGCGGACTAATTGAGATGTGAAATTTTCTTTCTTTAAAAAATATTTTCATGTTTATAAGGCTTCTCTGTTAAAAAAACTGTATTACTATGGTTAAGTAATTGAGATATGATTTTTTTTGTGGGAGGAGTTAATTAGGCTTATTTATTCATTTAATGGAGGTACTGGGGATTGAAAGACCTTCCCCATTTAGAAAGCTATTAAGCAGTAAGGTTTATTTCTAAGTGTTCTTTGTCTTAGTAGCAGAGGATCAGACAATATTTAGCTTACCTCAGAGGTCACATTCTCCAAAAGTTTAGACTGCAATATTAGCTGTCAAGACTTATTCAAGTTTTGAACGACTGACTCCATGATAAAAGTTCCCTTGTTAAATTACCATTTTGCAAATTGGGTCCCTTTAAATTCTCTCAGATACCAAGTTCCCTGTTATAGAATTAGAAAAGGGAGAGGGAACAGTGGTCCTGGGCATCGATGCAGCCTCTATGCTGTGTTCCAACTGTGATGGAGAAACAATTAACAGCAGAGTTCTGCTGAGAACAACTTATAACAGAGATTTAG